CACGCCGAGTGCTCCCTGCCATAATGGGAAAAGTGGCTGCAATTTGGGGCCTTTCCAATCACTGCCGAGCCGAGTGCTGGCCGCAATCAGGCAAGAGGAAGGGGGGGGGGGCTGGAGCCGAGGGGCTCCATCCCTGCAGCGTGCTGAGCTCTGCCCCCACCTCTGTGTCCTGGGGCTCCGGCATGACCAGGATCCCCACCTTGCCTGTAATGGGGGGCACCCACCACACCACCTCCCAGGTGCTGACACCAGAGCATCTCTTTAATGGGTTTGCAGTAATTCCTGGGCAGTGTAAGGACCCAGTGGGACAGGGGAATGACGCAAGGTTGCGGGTGGGGGTCCTGCAGGGGGACAGGGCTCCCCTCAGTGCACCAAGATCTCCATCTTGTGGCTGCCCCGCTTCCTGCAGACTGGGACAGCGCTGCCCGCCTTGGGAGACTCCACGATGGTGACAGCCACATCGCCCTTCTGGAAACGGGTGGAGAACCTGGGGGAAGAGTGAGGGTGTGGGTGGGGACACACCCAGCCCCGCCCATCTCCTGCCCAATTAGATGCTTCTGTTACACCCACCCCTCGGGGCCTGCCTTCCGCAGCCAATCAGGACCCTTCAGCCGAAGTCCAAGGGAACCCCACCCTGTCAGGCACCGCCCCCCCAGCACAGACCTCACCCATATGAGCTCCGCCTCGAACCATGCCCTTATTAGCCCCGCCCCTTCCCACCACGCCCTGCCCTTGTTAGCCCCGCCCGTACTGGTCCGTGATGTGCAGGGGCAGCTCCTGGGCTGTTGCCTCCAGCAGAGTTTGGTGCAAACGCGTGACGAGCTCAATGAGGTGGTCACTGACGAGCAAGAAGTCACCCTTGGCTCCCACCGTGGAGGTCTGCAGGGAGAAGAGGTGTCAGCCCTGCTAGGGAACCCCTGAGCCCCCAGGACCCCCCTCCCTGGGTACCTCCTTGAGGTGCAGGGCCAGAAAGCCATCGGAGAAGCGAGTGACAGAGACGCTGCGGATGTCCTCCAGGCTGAGCACGGTCTTGGGCTGGGCAGCCTTGGGGTCAGCCAGGACCAGGTGCTTGGTGGTGAGCAGCAGCAAGCGTGGGACCGTCTGCAGGCAGGGGGGGTCAGCACAGTCCCACGCCCTCCCAGCGCAGGGGAGATGGGGACAGGGCTCACCTTGCCATTGGCTCTGTTCACCTTCCTCACAGTGTCGGCCATCACCAGCTTGTCCTTGGCCACAGCTTGGAGCTTCTGATACTTGGGGTTCTGCGTCAGCCCCAGGTACTCACCCTGGAAGGGCTGCTGCAGGCTGGGGACAGAGTCTGTAGTCAGTGCT